TCTTGTGATAATTACGTCAATGGGTAAATCCCGTATGCGTCACAATTTCTCCGAAAAATTTTGCAAATTTTATTTACTTTCTTTTTTAAATATAAATTGCGTAGGCGAAAAAGTAATAAATATATATTACATTTTTAATTAAGTAAATTTATAAATAAACAAATTATTTATTAAAAATTCTAAATAAATTTAAGATTCTTATTTATTAATTTTTATTCATAAATCAATATCAACCTCTATATTTATAAATAAAAAAAAATTGATTTCCTTTTTTTTTGACATGAAAGAGCGATTTATTCAAACAATTTTGAAATTAAAAAGAAAAAAAATGTCAAATTAAATTTGTGCCAAAGAAATTGATACGTATAGTTAATTAGATTATAAACAATAAGCGATTCAAAAATCTTTTTACGCTCGAGTAATAAACTTAACATGCGCTCTTGCGGTCGGTATAAACTTGATGACAGAATAATTACCTCATCTGGGAAAATAAGTTTTATTTTCGATACGTATCCTTTATTATTATTATATATATATATGATGTTGATTACTTTCTAATTTGAAGGCTCAAAAGTGAAAATTGATAAAAACAAAAAGAAAAAAAATCCCCAGTGGCGGAAATTTATATCAGAGAATGTAATTTGTCGAAATTGTTTAATAACTATATGTATGATGATGGTGGAATGAACTTGAGAGTCAGGGTAATATTATCTACTAATTGTAACACGTTCTTTATGAAAAGAAAATTTTTCTCCACCCTTTTTTATTTCCTTCCGCACTTCTTCTATTTTTACCGACAAAAATTATTTAACTAAAGAGTAATATCCGATTTATTAATTGCTATTTACTAATTGCTTTGCTAATTACATTAACAATTATTTGAAAAATTAATTTAAAAAAGTATTTTATAAGCTGAAAAAATTAACTTTTTAAATAACGCGCCATTATTTTAGTGATGTTATTGATTTTCATTAAATAATTGCTAATTAATAATTTTATTAATAATTAAACCAAATATCGCGGACATAACAATTTTTGAAACTTATAAATAGTCAATTGAAAAATTAGAAAAAATTTAAATAATTAAGAGGTATAATTTTTTTGCAGTGTAATTGCCATAATAATACTAATTAAAAATAATTTTCTCACTCGGTGGTTGAATAATAAATCATTAAAGTAAACGCTCAATTATAATTATTAAGAATGACAATTAATAATTAATAACTTATCATTTTAACTAATTATTATTAAATGAGAAATAATTATTAATAAATAGTAAATAATAACTAACAATTATTAATTAATAGATTTTATTACTGACTACTAATATTCATACTTAATAATAAATAATTATTATTATATATTTATAATAAATTATTATAATATATTTATAATAAATTATTATTATCCTATTTATAATTAATTATACTTTTAATAATTATAATAATTTTTATTATTATTATTTTTTCCTATTATTAATTTAATTTTCATTATTATATCTTAAAGAACCATTAAAATTTTCTCGAATTCATATATATAATAAAAATTTAAATTATTAATTAATTAAAATTGTAATGCAAAAATTTTGATACGATAAAAATTATTTATATGACTGAATTAGTAATGAAAATACTAATTAAAATGAACATTAATGATTACCATATGTATAATGTGAAAAATCAATAAAATTAGAGAGAGAAAATTGAGACAAGAAAATAAAATAAAGAATAAAACCAAAAAATTCAACTTGAAATAAATATAAAATTTAAAAACAATTAAAATTCAAATAAAAATTAGCAATAACATACTAAATAGAAAGATTGCAATAAACAGTGCAATGAAAAATATATGAATATTCGAAAATAAGTGACCATTAAACGAAACATAAAATAAAGTTTGAACGAGTTTGAAAATTAATGCCCTTCTATATACACATATATATATATATATATGTTGCATAAAATATATAAGTCGCGGTCCTAATTTTATTTAAAAAAAAAAATAGGAAAAAAAAACTTAGTCCGGAACTATTCATATTATCACTTTCACCTTAAATCTTAATTGCACACATATATATAGCTATATGTATGAAACTGAAAACCTGTGCCATTACTTTTGCTTTATCGTGATTTCAACATCTTGTCATTTTTTCTTTCTTTTTTTTTTTGCTTTTTTTCGGAAACTGAAATATTTAAACGTGACTTTATACATTCTAAACAAAATAGTTTGTCATGTATTTCTTTGGTAATGTAGTTAATGTCATTTTATAATCCAGGAAATTTAATAATTAATAATTTATTATACCGTAAAGTTACTATTTTTAAGTGTTTATTTTTATTTAATTTATTGCAAAGTTAGTTGACAGAATTAATAAACAAAATATGTCATTTATAATATTTTTTTAATGGGGGAAAATTTTTTTGCTACTAATTTCCGCTCAATATAGACGACCCAATTATTAATTATGAACTAAACTATTTTTAGTAATTTATATTTTAAATATTTTAAAAACAAAATAACTTGTGTTACAAAATAAATAAATAAATAAACAATTTATAATAATTGTTGTTAATATTATTATAATTATTATAAGAATTATTTTAATAGTAATTAAAATAGTAATAAATTAATAAATTAAGAAATTATAATAATTATAACAATTAAATACTAATTATAACAATTACAATAATTAGAATAATAATTTTAACAACTTTAACAATTATTAATTGAAATAAATTATAATAAATTATAATAATTAAAATAATTATAATTATCATTATTATTTACTGTTATAATAATAATATTAGTTAATATTAATTTTGTTATTGTTATATTTTATCATCACAATAATTAGAAATTAATTTAGTAAATTTAATTAACAAATTGTTTAAGCAATTAAAATAATTTTAAGAACTAATTTACTTCAATTATTTTTAATTGTTCAGTAATTAATTAATGTAATAATATTAAAACTAAATACATTAATGGGTAAATAATAATTAGTTTATAATTTACAGTTTAAGTTAATAAATGAATATAATAAATAATTATTATTAATTGTTACTGTTAATGTTAATAAGTACATTATAATTAACTAACGATTTTGTAAATAATTTTAATATCAAGAAATATTTGAATTATTAAAAAAATATTTTATAGTGTGCAATATATTATAATATAAACAATTTATTACTAATGTAATCAACTAATTATAAATTTATTATATCCTTACATAATTAATTAAGTTATTATGTAATTAATAGGTTATACTGAAGTATAATTAATTAATTTTTAATACAAAAAATTGATAAACATTTAATGTAAGCAACAAAGTAAACATAAAGTTATTAATTAATTATATAAGTAGTTATAACTTATAATTAATTTTTACAAGTAATTTTACAAGTAATTAAATAGTTAAAAAAATTAATTTCAATTAATTAAATAGTAATTAGTTATAAATTAATTTTAATTTATTAATAAATACTTAATCAGAAATTAATTACTTATGTAAATAATAAAATTAATAATGCACTTAATTAATTATGAATTAATAATGTACTAAATTATTATTGTTAATTGCTTGTATAATTAATTAGTTGTAAACTTAATTAGTTAATTAGTTATCTCAGTTGTTTAAAACTTTGAGAGATCAAAATTTGCTTCACGATTGGCAGCTTATTTACAACAATTATTGTAAAAACAATAATAATGATAATAATAATTAATAATAACAATAATATTAATAACAAAATTTTAAAAAATAATAATTAAAAATTATTGTAAAAACAATAATAATTATGATAATAATAACAACAATAATATTAACGAAATTTTTAAAAATCAAAATTTTAAATTTTAATACTATAGTAGTAGTTAATAATATAATTTATAATAATATTAATAAAATTAATTAGAAATAATAAAGTTTATAATTTTGTGTTAAGAAACAAAAATTTTTGCAAATTCTTTAGGTGTTAAAAACACTTTACATCTACCTGGAAAAGGTACACTCATTCCTCTTTTTTCAAAAAACATCCAATACTTATATGTCTCGATGAAAATCCAGTAAAAACACACGTTTCACTTCAATGCGAATCACTTGTTCTTATAATAGTCATTGAGAGATGAAAATAAATTACACTTGGTCCATGGCCCACTTGAACGATTAATTTATGTTTATGTACTTTACTCTATTTTTTCCAAATTTGATTGAAAAAGAAAATTCAATTTTTCCTTTTTTAATTCAATCCATTCTGTGTGTATTTGTCTCACGTTTAATTATTTATTTCTTTACAAAAATTCATAGTAATAATTTTATAATGTATTTTTCTTTAAATGAAAATTTTTATTTTATGGTAAATTAAGTGTAAAAAATTTTCAAAAAACTATTTTTAATGAAATTTTTGTTCTTTTTTTCGAAATTAAAAAAGTTAAGTAAATATTTTAGTTGTAAACGAATCAAAGCTTTAATTTTCTATTATAAAAATCAAATTTTATATAAAAAGTCTTGCATTTATTAGTTAATTTACAAATTAATTTTCAAGTTAAGTATCAACTCAATTTTCAAATTAATTGCCAACTCAATTTTTAACTGATTTTACAATTTAATTTTTAACTTAATTGTCAAATTAATTTTCAACTTAATTTTCAAAATAATTTGTAACTTAATTGTCAAATTAATTTTCAAAATAATTTTTAACTTTATTTTCAACTTAATTTACAACTTGATTTTCAATAAAAAATTAAAAGTTTTATAGGTGAAAAGAATAATTTTCTTTTCAAAAATAAAAAAAAAATGTAAAACGTTATTAAATTTTTAAAATACACAAAACGGTGTTGGTACATTTTTTTTTGCAAAAAACTTATTTTCAGCGAACATGTCAAAAAAAAAATGGGAATATTGTCGTTTTTCGTATTTCTGTTAATCCATCATCAGACTTTTCCTGATTGCTATTGTTGTTGATTTGATAATTGATTCAATTTTTGGAACACAATACCTTGTTAAGAGGTATCCAGAGAGTGATAAAACCGGTAATTGAAGACAGGGCAACTGAACGGGTAGTGTGTTTGAACCAAGTTTATAAATGACAAGAGAAAGTATATGGGGGGCAATAGTACCACCCAAGAAAATCGCCTTGTAACAGTGCCGAAAACTCCCTTCTATATATAAACACACATGTATATAATTTACATTAAATATATTATGTCAATATTGTGTATTGTTGTCCTAATAAAATAATCAAATTTCAAAATTCCATTCTCTCAACTGCAATCGCTTTATTTCTATCTTTTTTTTTTATTTCAAAATACATTTTAATTTCGATCCACTTACTTGACAATCAATTTTTTTTTACGAATTTTTGTAATTACTTTTATCATTAATTACCAATTTTAAATAAATGAGTTAATCATAGAACATTATTATTAAAAAGCATTTTAAAAAATTAAATTGAAAGGTATATTTTCGAAAGATAAGAAATTTTGCTTTTTGAATAACGCGCCATTACTTTGGTGTCAGAGTAGCTCTTCCCTTTTTCGTTATAATTTTTTTAATTAATGAAAAAATTTATTAATTCAAAATACACATTTTTCTTATCTATATATTTTTATAAATCTGAAATTAGGTTAAATAATAAATTTTTTCCACTGTGAATTAATTAACTAAATGAATCAACTCTATTATATTAAAGATAAAGAAATATTATTAAAATAATGCAATTGACAATAAGGTTAAATAATAAATTCTTTTTCTTTATAATATACTAAATAAAAAAACTTTATTATGTTAAAGTTGAAGAAATATTATTATTAAAGTAACTTTAATTGGCAATAAGGTTAAATAATAAATTTTTTCCACTGTGAATTAATTTACTAAATGAATCAACTTTATTATATTAAAGGTAAAGAAATATGAAAATAACTCAATTGACAATAAGGTTAAATAATAAACTTTTTCACTGTGAATTAATTTACTTAATAAATCAACTTTATTATATTAAAGGTAAAGAAATGTTATTAAAATATTTCAATTGACACTAAGATTAAATAATAAATTCTTTTCACTGTGAACTAATTTACTAAATAAATAAACTTTATTATAATAAAGGGAATAAAATATTATAAGAAATAACTCAATTGACAATAAGGTTAAATAATACATTTTTTCACTCTGAACTAATTTACTACATAAACTATAACTTTATTGTAATAAAAGTAAAGAAATATGAAAATAACTCAATTGACTATAAGGTTAAATAATAAACTTTTTCACTGTGAATTTATTTACTAAATAAATCAACTTTATGATATTAAAGGTAAAGAAATATTATTAAAATACTTGAATTGACAATAAGGTTAAATAATAAATTTTTTTTTTATTTACTAAATAAAACAACTTTATTAGATTAAATTTAAAGAAATATTACTAAAGTAACTCAATTGACAATAAGGTTGAATAATAAATTTTTTCACTGTGAACTAATTTAGTAAATAAATTAACTTTATTATATTAAAGTTAAAGAAATATTATTAAACTATATAACTTATTGACAATAAGATTAAATAATAAATTTTTTTTAATTTACTAAATAAATCAACTTTATTATGTTAAAGTTGAAGAAATATTTCTAAACAAACTTAATTGACAATAAAGTTAAATAATAAATTTTTTTACTGTGAACTAATTTATTATATAAAATATAACTTTATTATATTAAAGGTAAAAAAATAAATCAACTTTATTATATTAAAGGTAAAGAAATATTATTAAAATATTTCAATTGACAATAAGGTTAAATAATAAATTCTTTTCACTGTGAACTTGTTTTCTAAATAAATTTACTTTTTTTAATATCAAATTTATTTTCCACTGGCATCATGCACCCAGTTCCACCATCGAAACGAAAATGAATTAAATGACCGATGCGTCATACCACAAAGCGTCTTCTTGTTTCAGCGCTTTCTTCTTGATAGTGAGTCATATGTGAACTACCCATTAACCTATAGATTTTAGTTATCAGCGTTTGATATTTATTAGCAGCCGGTAAAACAAATCAACCATTTATCCGCAGTTACTAACCCTTCTGATATCATTTTTTTAATAAGACGTTTTTCGCTAAAATAGTGAACCAAATTTGACATTCATTATATATTTCAGTACATTTTTGTTATTGAAGTATATAAATTACAAATTACGTAACATTATAAAGGGGAGGGGGGGGTCTAGCTATTTGTTATGTACAGCAGAAAAAATGGCGCTAATGTATGTAACAGTGTGTTACATGGGGGGAGGGGGGGTCAAAATTTTTAAAAATTAGCGTTACGTAATTTATGAACGCTCCCTAACATGCCACGGTCCTGACATGTGTGTCACAGTTAGGACACGTAAATAAATCAGTAGAAGTCAATTAAAAATAAAATTGAGTAATAAAATCACAATTTCGTTAACATGTGCAGGTACAAATTGATTAACAATTTAAAACATGAAAAAAGTGCTTGTGTACGTAGAATATCATAATAATAAAAAATATTTTTATATGTAAAACATCTAGTTAGATTTGGCCTACAAAGTACTCAAAAGATAGTCTCAATATTTAATCACGTAACAATTTCAGAACAAAATTTAAAAAAACGTATGCCACATACCTGACATATTTACCCTATTTTCCTTAATTTTAACTATGATAATGATTAGTTAATGAACTGAATATTAAGTATCTTTAAGAAGAGACTTCCATTAAGTGATTTATAAAGTGATTGTCAAAAAAAAAATTTTATTAGTTATCTATCTATGGGGTCATGCAAATATGACAGTTATTTGAAAATCACCAATAGAATAATAGTAATGAAAAATTAAATTTACCATCATCTTGTTTTAATTTACGGTTAAATTTATTATAATAGTCAATTGATGACATAACTTTAGTATTTAAAGTTTAAGAGGTTAGGTTTTTTTTTCTTTTTAACCCTCTTGTTTGCAATATTCTCTCAAATAAAATTAATCACAAACTTCTTTACGTCTTTAAAGTTTCCATGCAAATTGTAATGCGATCTTTGCTATTTGCATATATAGCAACCAAATTTAAACAAAGCGGAGTAAAGAAAAAAAAAATATCCGTAAATGGATATATTTTGCATTAACAATGCCAATTGTCATTTACCGCATAAATCGTCCTGCCGCGGAAGTTCTTTGAAATTTGCCTAACCCATATATAAATGACATAAGACGTACACGCAGAAAATATATATTATATTCAATCTCAATTTTACAAAGTGAAATGGACATTAGAGGCGCACTTTTCTTCTTTATTTTTTTTTTTAAATCTCAACATACTTTGATTTTTCTTTATTTTTTATAACTGCCTCTCATTGAGGTGTATTATGTAAAAAAAAGGCGTTCTCTTCATTGACTATGTATTAAGATTATATTCAACTTGGACATGTTACACGTATGTCTTTGTCTTTCCGCTACTTCAATTGACGTATCGGCTGTGAGAGAAAGGACTCGTTGGACAAATGCAGCTGTTTTCTGTTGAATAATTTTTTTTCTATACGGACAACAAACAAATGAGACCGACTTTAGAGATATGACTGATTTTTTTTTTTTTTTTTTTTTTATGCAGAGAGTTGGATAATTAAATTTGATTTCGGATTATTTCGTCACTTTTCAAAGAAAAGCTACTTGAAGAAAAAAAAGAGTCAGGCGAAATAATTGAATACATTTATTGCGTATTATTGCTTTTAAAGAGACTGGATGTTAGTTAATGAGGTTGAACATTCATTGTCACTTGAATAGCATTTTACTTTCTGGCACGCATTTCTTAATTGTCGTCAATTATTCTCAAAGTGTGTTTGTTCCTGAAAACTGTTGACATTTTACTATCATTTACATTTTACATTATTTTTTTCCTCTCTCTTCTTTTTTTGCTTCAGTAGTTTAGCGACTTTTTTTCTAAATATTAAAATTGTCCTGTGGATTGTGAAATATTTTCAATTTCCATAATTTACTGACATTTTTTTATTATTATCTTTTTTTATTTATCAAAAAAAAACTAGGTTCAATACATGGAATTTGTAACAAGAAAAAAATTTTTTTCACACTTTTGGAGTTAATTGAGGTAATAATGCCGTGTTAATGTTACTTATGACTAAGAACCTTTGTTTCTAGAAAAAAATACATATGTAAGGGTCAAGAACTTCCCTTAATTTTATGCTTTTTCTTTATATTTTATAAAAAATTTGTCTTTTTTAAAACAAAAAATGAAAATTAAAAACTTATCAGGATAGAGAAAAACCAACGAAAAGTATTATCTCCCTCAGAGCAAACTGAATTAGATAATAGCAATAAAAATTTCCGTTATTAAATAATCAATAAATCATTATTGACTGAAAGTGAAGGCTGATATTAAATTTCGAAAGGAGATCTTTTATTATACAGTTATTATCATCAACAACAAAATTCTATGTGCGTTATTCAATTTATGACACTAAATTTTCATCTAATAGCAAAGTCGAGAATGCCAGAAGGAAAATATACATTCCTCCGCTTAGAGACATGCGAATTGGTTCAAATTATTATTATTTCACTATCTACTTCAAGAATATTCTACAATATTAATAGTAAAATTTTGTAAAATTAGATTCTCGTTATAGTTATATACTTTTTATATTACTTTCTTTGTTGTAGATTAATTTCTCCAATTTCTATTTGAGAAAAGAGAGTAAAAAAAATTTTTAACGATTTATTTTCCATTAAAATTTTGATGATACCCTTTGTATTTACAGATGTATATAATACGATAATTATTCTCTTATATGGTTTTTGGTTCAAAATATATACCATTTTACTTTTTCAAATATGAAATTATCAATAAATTTGCAGGTGAAATTTCAGTCTATGAAATAAATAAAGACATATGTATAAGCATCAATATTGTTGAAAGTCTACATGTTGAGGAAAAAGCTATTTAACAAAAAAATTTTATTTTGAATTATGAGAAAATAGATATTTTCTTTCTAATCGTTCCGAAAGTTGAAGATTGCAATTTTTTTCTCATTGGTAATGAAAATGGTCAATATTTTTATAAAATTATTTTAAATGACTACTAATTTACTAATTTATTTATTATAAGGTAGTATATAATTCTTAATAATTTTTTATTATTAATTAATTATTTTTTTATTATTAGTTTTTTATTTTTGCTTTTTAGTATTTTTTATTCAAAATTTAATATTTTAGTTTCTCTTCTATTTTCTTTTAAGATGGCAATACAATACTAGTTTTCAAAAGTATTAACAATGTATGTAAAATGTTTTTTGAAAAAAACAGAAACAATTTTTAATAAAAAAATTTATTATCCAAAAATATGTGAATCATGTTTTATTGCCAATATATTTTTATAAATCTGAAATTAGGTTAAATTGGATACAAATTAATATTAACCAAATTTTAGATTTTTATTTATTTTCGGATAATTAAATTTATTATTCTATTTAACGAAATATTATTAAACTACAATTCAATTGACAATAAGGTTAAATAATAAATTTTTTTCACTGTGAACTAATTTACTAAATAAATCAACTTTTATTAGATTAAATGTAAAGAAATATTACTATAAAGGAACTCAATTGACAATAAGGTTAAATAATACATTTTTTCCACTGTGAACTAATTTACTAAGTAATTCAACTTTATTAGATTAAAGTTAAAGAAATATTATTAAAATAACTGAATTGACAATAAGGTCAAATTTAATAATAAATTTTTTTAGGTGAACTAATTTACTGATTAACTCAACTTTATTATATTAAAGTTAAATGAATATTATTAAACTATAACTCAATTGACAATAAGGTTAAATAATTAATTTTTTCACTCTAAACTAATTTACTAAAAAAATCAACTTTATTGTAATAAAGATAAATAATTATTATAAAACTTACTTAATTGACAATAAGGTTAAATAATAAATTTTTTCCACTTGAACTAATTTACTAAATAAATCAGCTTTATTAGATTAAATGTAAAGAAATATTACTAAAGTAACTCAATTGACAATAAGGTTAAATAATACATTTTTTCACTGTGAACTAATAATAATTTACTAAGTAAAACAACTTTATTGTAATAATTGTAAATAAATAGGGCATAGTCCCGTTTACTACTTAAATAAATAAATAAATATTATGAAACTAACTTAATTGAGAATAAGGTTAAATAATACATTTTTTTCACTGTGAACTAATTTACTAAGTAAATCAACTTTATTAGATTAAAGGTAAAGAAATATAAATATAAATAATATATAAATATAATAATATAATATATATATAAATATATATTAAAATGACTGATTTGACAATAAGGTCAAATAATAAATTTTTTTAGTGTAAACTAATTTACTGATTAACTCAACTTTATTATATTAAAGTTAAATGAATATTATTAAACTATAACTACTCAATTGATAATAAGGTTAAATAATAATTTTTTTTTTATTGTGAATTAATTTACTAAGTAAAACTACTTTATTGTAATAAAGGTAAATAAATAGTATGAAACTAAATCAATTGACAATAAGGTTAAATAATAAATTTTTTCACTGCGAACTAATATACTAAGTAAAACAACTTTATTGTAATAAATGTAAATAAATATTATGAGACTAACTTAATTGACAATAAGGTTAAATAATAAATTTTCTTCACTATGAACTAATTTACTAAGTAAATCAACTTTATTGGATAAATTTAAAAAAAATATTATTAAAATAACTGAATTGACAATAAGGTTAAATTATAAATTTTTTTCACTGTGATCTAATTTTCCAATTAAATCAACTTTCTTTAATATCAAATTTATCTTCGACTAGCGTGATGCGACAAGTTCCACCATCGAAACGATAATGATTTAATTGGCCGTCGTGTCAACCAAATCGGCGTCTCGTCTCAGCGCTTTCTTCTTGATAGTGAGTCCCAATTGAATTATTCATTAACTTACAAACTTTAACTATCAGAACAACAATTTATCCATCACAAACTCTATCCATCGATAAATTAAATATGGCCACTGCCATTATTTTAACAGGTCTCTAAAAGTAGAATACTTTTTTTACACAGATATAATAATAGTGAAAAATTAAATTTATCTAATTACCATATATAAATTCTTGTTTTTATTTACGGTTTAATTTTATGGAAATGGCACTTTTATCACGTGGAATGAATCTTTTTTCGCCGCCAATCAAAAATGTTCACGAGTAGGTAAATTGATACCGACTCAATTGATCAATCCGCTTCCCTGTAATTTATGTCTCAGTTCTGCATATAATTTGTATTTTAGAAAATGATCGTTAAACAACTTCTCAATCACTCGTTAAAGTCCTATTTAGTGAAATCTATTCGATTGATCGATGCATTCATTGTTGAATTATTACCAATCGAGAGTGATTTCTATATTTATAATCCAGAAATGCAACAACTTTGTTTTTTTTTCTCTCTATTGATTCACTTTATTGCATGAGATTAAAATACGTGGCAATACTATCCCTCTCTATAAAAACATACACATGATTTCCCCCTCAATAAAATCGTTTCTCGATTTTAATTCCGAACGTACAACTCACGATTAAGTTACTAACGCAGGAAATGGTTTATTCATCACAAAATGTTTCAAAGAAGGGATCTCTCATTCGTATTCCACATAACTTTTATCTAGTTTATACTTCGAAGTTAGGTATATATACTTTCTATAAAATGCAAAGCGGAAATTATACTTTGGGTCCGATAAATGTGAGTTATAATGTTTTTTTTTCTAATTTAATTGTAAAAAATAAAGAATTTTATTAATGAGGGCAAATTAGAAAAAAAAATGTGCACATTTATATTTTAAAAAATTCATGAAAAATGATATCGTGAGAGTCGATGAAAAAAAAAATTTAGCGAAAGTTTAAATTAATACAATAATTATGTAATTTATTTGGAAAATTGACGTCGAAATTGTGTGCGATATGAATTTATTTAGGAAGAAAAAAAAATAGATATTTGATCGCTAAAACAAGGAAGTCGAATATATATATATCTCTATTGCGAAAATTTAATTAATTTTTATGATTTAATTCACGATTTCTATCGTTGAAGGCGAATTCAATTTTTGTATGTTAAACATTGATTTCGAACTATTTTGAACAAATGAAAATAGTTTCGAAACTGTATCTAAAAGTTTAGATACATATATTTGATGATCATCCTTTGGGTGAACTATAAATCCTGTAAATCTCTGTTTGTCTTATTTTTCGAAAAATGTAAGCGAAATCCTTAACTTTCTTCGCATTGTTGAACTACATCCGTAATTTACAAATAATTCAGATCAAATATTACATTTACAATTCGAATTTGTTTTCATTGGAGAAAAAAGTAAACTAAGATACCATACACCGACTATCATCCTAATTAAATTTAACTTTCATTCAACAATACAGAAAATTCGTTATAATACGGAAACATAATTCATCAAATTATTTCCCCATAATTTCCTCGATCGTATTTTACTTTCAATATACCCTGCAAAAATAATAACTTGATTCATATTCGTTCTAATTCTTAAAAACAGATTTAATTCTCAAATAAGAAATTCTAATGTGGGAAAATGTGAAATGTAATTTTGCCCATTATAAATATAAAATGTACGAGTCAAGGTTACTATTATTGAAACAGATATAACATTGGATATCACTCTTTATGTCAGTTGTCTTATAAATATCGTTCATTATATTTTTATATCTATATGTGTTTTTATCATTTATATCTGTTTAAATATAAATATAGAGGGAAAAAAAATGTTGTTCTCAGGGAATTTCTGCGACGAAACATTGAAATTCTCGTGGCCTTAACGTTATATATATGTGTATAGATATATAAAGGGAAAGGAAAGGTCATTATGTATCATTGAAATGAAAGCCATGCATTAGGAGGTATTTTCCGAGTTCTTTATTCAGCAAATAGTGCAAACGCATTTGCGATTCTCTCCAAGTCTGAGAGAAACAGCATTTTATATATATATATATATATATATATATATATAAACTTCAATTTCAAATCGCATGTATTAAGTACCATTATCTCTCCTATTATCAAATACAAAAACAATCGATGATAATGCTAAATCTAATCAGTCACGTTTTATATACTGCCGAACAGTATACCGACATACAATTATTATTATTACTACTCTTATTACTAAAATAAACAATAGAATTATAATTAAACTATTAACTGTATTGGAAGATAATCATTATAATTTAAATTATGGTTATAACTTAAGTTTTAGTTGATAATTGAAAAATAACTGTATTTACATATCTAATGATGAGCGTTATTAATTATTTTTTACATTCGATCGACTTTTTTTTAATAAAATATTTTTTTCTGTAGAAAATCGACTAGTCACATGTTCGTAAATTATAATTTAAATAAATGTTAGACGTAGTTGTACTCTTTGATTTTGACTTTGCCATCGCAATTTCTTTTTTTTCCCTTGTGCACTCTTGGCAATTCTGTTTTTTTTTCTGATTTCTCACTTCCTTTTTGGCCCTGACTTCAAAATGTCAATCAGGAGTTTCGATCCAGTGGATAAAGTGACCAGCCAATTAATAAACTATGTTCAACGATACGCCTTTGCCTTTTCCGCCCAAGCGAATAAATCGACACTTGGAATTGCTTCAAAGTCATTGCAAAGTCGCAATTCGTTTCTGAAATTTTAAAATTAATTTTTGAATAGATTTTAAGTTATTTGGATGTGAATTTTTTGGTTTTTGTTAGAAAAAAAGGAATTATTTGTTAAATTGTATAATATTAAATATTTGATACAAAATGTTAAATGTTTGATACTAAACGTTAAATGTTTAATACTAAATATTCAATTCTAAATATTAAATGGTAAATGCCAAAAGTATTACTCACCCTGGTTTCGGTTTGATAAAAACATTTCGTTGAATCCGGGAAATATTGTCGCCGTTATCGCAGAAAATTCTTGCCAAAGTGACATTTTGAATATTGTGCAATTGATCTGAAAGAAAGGGAAACTTTTATAGAAAATTATCATTGAATGCTAAAATAGATTCCTTGAACCCAAAATATGTTTTTTAATGAGAAAAGTGTACAGAAGATGGTAAAGACATTAGCTGTATGTTATAACCTTTTAGGTTTTTAAACCAACTTCTGTAAAACATCTAGTAAAATACACCGATTTTACTACGAGTAACAATATTGAAACAGTATATTTAACTTCGAAGTATCGAAATTTGCTCTGGAGGCGACAGTCTGGAAAAAAGTGATCCCTTCCACTGTAATAGAATCTCGTTTCTAAAGGTATTTTGCACTTTACGAAACTTGTCATTCTTTGGCTCCGAGCTACAGAGTAAAGATTGTTGAGTTTTATACGTAAATTTTAATATTAAATAAAAATGTCAAAAACTGTGGGCCTGAGTAGTAAGTATTAAGTTGACCTACGCCGAGTATCCATCGCCAACCTGAGAACGCAGGAGACGACAAAGGAGGCCAGAAAATTAAAAAGAGCTCAACAAAAGGAATGGGACGACATTCTTTCCATTCTAGGAAAAGAGTATTATGGCTCAGAAATTGCTGATTAATTAGTAAGTTGACAAAATTTCAAGTTATAATATACTAAAGTACATTTTTTCTTCTTTTGCGTTTATCTCGAAACCACATTTTTCGAGACGGTGTACATGATAACTCAAAGACTATTCAACCGATTGACTTGAAAATTAATATACATCTTCCTATGAAAAAAAAACTGATCCACGCCAATGCTTATATCTCCGCCATTTTTAATTAAAAACAACTTTTTTTTAATATTTATTAAGCTTAAGATATGTATTAAATTAGTAATAAATGTAAAAAATTCCTACATCAAATAGTTTCGTCAAAAAAATTCCTAAAAAAAACCATCCGATTTCCATGCGTTCAGAGTGGCGTAACCCCTTAAGTAGCGAATTTGGCAAACAAGACAAGTGTACAATAAAATAATAAATAAATAGTTTGCTAAAACAATAATTAAATGAATAGATTTACCTTTGGTAAATGGATAAGGTTGACTGGCGAAATCGTAGAAATATCTGTCAGCGCGTCTTGTTCTCGCAAATTGTTCAGCAATCAAACAACGGAATGTTGGTCCTAAAATTCCCTCTTCTTCATCTTCAGGTTTCTCCGCCATGCCACCAATAATTAGATCGACATCATCAGGTGTGTTATACAGATCAGCAAGTTTACTCCCCATTTGCTAATAATAAAATTAATTATTAGACATGAGAAAGCAAAATAAATTTAACAAACGAATCAGTATGACTTTCTTAATAGAAAATCCAGTTAGGATCGTCTGGGATTAGATTAGAATTGGGGTCTTCATTAATTACAATTCTACTGTAAGAAAACATTGGGTAAGTGCAATACAAAAAGGTAATTAATTCCCACAAACAGTGATTCTAGTTTAGAAAAGAAACGAACCTTAAAATCATCAAAAGTTTTAACAACAGGTAGTCCACAATAGTTGCGATAATAATTGTATCCCGGTAGTCCGTGATCTCGTCCTCTCTGGATATCAAGACTGACTGCATCCAGACCCAACTCTCCATTTGTTTTAAACAACTGATAGGAGACCTGCAATATAATTTTTTAGATTATTTTAATCTTTGAAAATTATTCAAATTAGTTCTACTCTTAAATGGAATTGACAGTATTCTATTATTGACAAGTATTAACTATAATTTTAATTTATTAAATTTGTAATTACATCCGGAATCATGTTGACGTCCATCGTTTGGGAGTTTTCATTTGTTAGACTTTTGATTATGCCATCGAATATATTACCACTTTCGATTATTTCTGGTTTGTAGTAATTATCACTGAGTCTTAGAGATTTATTAGTTCCTTCACTGTCGTCCATAATTCTGTAACAATTAATTTCTTGTTCAATACATTTTTGGAATTTATTTTTAGCGGTAGACAATTTAGGAACCTCCTCCTACAAAGTTTAAACCGAAAACAGTAATTCCGTAGGTTGGCGTACGTTATTATCAAACGTTGCGGTTTTTAGTTCCAATTATCGTAAAGAAATATCCTTACCGTAAATAACTTTGCTTCAATGATTTCTGAAATTGTAGAGCTGCTGTTGCAACCTCATTGGCAACTGCCGGATCCTCATTGGGATTATAATTTTGACTGCGGTCCATTAGGAGTCCAAAATCGCGGGCGAAATTTCTGCCCAGAATATTTGGTAACCATTCATTGTATGTTATGTGCTGAATTTCAGCCACGACTATTCTTCTTGCCTCTTGATATAAAGCCTCATCCGACCAGTCTGGATTTATTTCCGCCAATTTCTTCGCAATTCGATTATGCTCACGGTGCCAAATTGTGTGAATCACCACGAGTGAAGGTTCAGCGTTAACACGATCATCGCCTGCGATTTTTAAAAAGAAAACAAATATTCAGATCCGTAGAATAAATAAGGTTTTTAGTTAAATTTGTAATCCTATTCGTAAAAAAAAATAATAATATGAAGTAATTTAATTGCAAATTACATTCCTTAAAAAATTCTAAGGAAAGAATCCTAGATAAAATGTTTACCAGATAGGAAGCACTTGTCCGTCAAGCAAAATGTAAAGGGTTCGGAATCTGCAGTCGGTAAATACTCCCGATTATTTTTCACATCGACTCGAAGTCGTCCGCCCTGATAGGTTCGAAGTTTTCCAGCTCTTTCCACCGTCGATCCGTAAATTGTAGAACCATCCAAAAAGTGACTGACCTGATTCATCTGAACGATAAAAAAATATTTTTAGTTAATTTATATTTACTACTTTAAAGTTGGATAGTATTTAATAGAATCCTACTTGTTCAAGTGGTCCGAAACTGCACTCCGACCTAAGAACTGGAAGTGATCTAACGTAACTCATACATCTAATGGAATGACTAGAGTAGATTGGATCCTGATTCTCAATTGGAATGATATTGCAATCGGGATGCAGATGTCGCGGTTGTAACTCGTTGCCATCTTCACTGCAGCAGGATATTGGCATTCCGTTCGACACTAGAAAATAAAAAGATCGCTTTTAAAATGAGTGACAAATATTAAAAGTATTAAAACTAAAAAGTAGAGAATTATTTTATCACTCAAGAAGAATATCGATTCCCGTACACTAGTTCCTATTGCGCGGTATTTCGAAGAAAATTATATTGTTGGAAGAAGAGCACGGGGAAGGCGGCGTGCAGTTCCTCCACGATATCCAGCACCCTTATGGAATACGTACGAAGCTACGCTCCGCGATCAACATCGTACCAACAACATTAGCGAGGGATGGCACAACAAATTTCAGCTCATGGTTGGAAAAAATCATCCTTCATTGTATTATCTGCTTAAAGAGTTTCTTAAGGAGCAAGCGGACACTGAAACGATTTTAAGACAGTTGGATTTGGGACAAGCGGTAAAAGCAGCACCGAAGAAAAAATGGATGCAATCGAAGACAAGGATGAGAAACATTGTATCACAATATGAGGATTACAAAGAGAAGGACGAAATTCTTCAGTACCTACGTCTCCTAGGACATAATATCAGCCTCTGAAAAAATTCTGTACGCTTCTTAAAACTTCATTAAATTCAATTCATTCACTATAAAAATTATGCTTTGGGAAAATTGTCTTGGGAAAAATGGATTGGGAAAAAAAGATTGGGAAAAAAGGTTTGCTGGGACAAATGGGTCTTGGGAAAAATGGATTGGGAAAAGTGGTCGGCAACGAGAATATCTATTAAGAGAAAGGAGTCAAGACGTTAGAAGATTCAAAGAAACGTGCTTCTTCTTCTTCTTCTTAAATGACTTGTGGCCTTGCCGAGTGTCAGAACTATTAACGTAAGAAGAATGAGAAATATGTTAAGATTAGTTGTTGTTATGTAAAATCCCTTGGTCAAAAAACATGTAGATAGGTCTCTCCAGCAAGCAAGCGGTGGGAACCGTATTTATATGTAGAGCTGGTTCCAGTGGTCTACAGAGGTCGTTCAGACCAGCGGGTAAAGTCAATTATTGGGATAGTTTAAATAAGGGATTGGATAAATATTTAGGCTGTAAGTTAAATAATTAAATAAAATGATGATTAAATGTGAAAAATTTTCCCAGCTCTCTGACCACTTGCTCAGTGGGTGAGAAAACGAGCTCGTCGACGTCTGCCGAGTTGGGAACTGAATTGGGAAATTTGCTGTGCCAAAACCTCATGAAATCACATCTTGCTGGTGCAAAACTTGGGCAATCATTTAACAAATGAGTAAGGGAACGACGTTCTTCGCCACAATCGCAGCGTGCCGCTCTAATCCAATTTATTCTTATCAGATGCTCACTTGTTAGAGTGTGGCCTGTTCTCAATCTAGTAACTACGTTTATCCAACTCCTCGGGAGGTTGAGATCCAGAAACCAGGGCCTGGCTGCTTTAAAGGATACCCTTGAGAAATATCTGTGCTCCGTCAGGTCCCTCTCTGAGTATGGCCAGAGATGGGAAAGCCATGCTTTCCTGTCCGGAGCAAAGCCACTCATTCTCAGGTCATCGCGAGGGAGTTTAAAATGCATTCTATTATTATTTGAGATGTTAATTTCACGGCAAATTGCATCGATATATTCATTGCCTAAAATGCCATTGTGTGATGGAATCCAGATAAATTTAAAGGAGGGAAGAGTGTTAGGATCGGAATTTGTATATAATAATTCTAATATTCTGTATATGATGTATGGGTTGTTTTTATATAGTAGACAATTCCTGAGTCTCTGGACGGAGGATAATGAGTCTGTGATTATAAGAGTACGTGATATGTCGTGTTCAATCGCGTATGTGATCGCTGTGTAGATGGCATAGAGTTCAGCTGTTAAAATCGTGATGTATGGTTGGAGAGGAGTACATTGTGTGTAGTTAGAAACCTCGTCATAGAAAGCCGCTGTAGACAATCCATTTGCAGGGTTTAAAGACGCATCCGTGTATATAGGACAGTAGCCATCGAACTCAGTCGAAAGGATCTCTCTAAAGAATATCTCAGGTGTATTATGGTCTTTGAGGAGTATGCCGTTAGAGATATCACACACAGGAGAGGATGATCAGATCTCCCAGGGCCAGTCAAAATAAGCAGGTCTAACGGATCTAAAACCCATGTCCAACAGGGGAACCATCTGTGTATAAGTTGGAACGAGAGGTATTTTGTTATATGCTTTTGTTTGTGTTGGAATTTTTAGTTTCCTGTTAAGGGTATACAAAAGGGGATTTAGCAAGTTGTCAGACCACGAATAATTGCGATGGATAAACGAGTTCGTCAAGAATGTTCTACGAAGTGTTAGAGGGGGCTCGCCTGCCTCCGACAGAAGAACCGGGATGGATGTTGATTTCATGCAACCCAGTGCCATTCTGAGGGCTGCAGACTGCACTCTGTCCAGGCATTTTAGGGAGGTCATAGCAGAATTAGCGAAAAGAGGAGAACCCCAATCTAGAATAGCTCTTATTAAATTTCTATAAACTGTCAAGGCTAGCATGGGAGAAATACCCCATGTGGCCCTTGTTATGATTCTGAGAATACCCAGTGCCTTCGTTGCTTTATTAGCTATCATCTTTATATGCGGTGTCCATTTTAGTTTCCGGTCCAAAAGTATGCCCAGGTGTTTCATTGTAGGATCACATGTGATCGAAGTTGAACCTAGCCTTCATGCGAAGTCTTCATAGGATGATCGGGATTTTGTGAAGATGCAGCAAACCGTTTTTTGCGGGGCGACGTCCATTCCCAGTGTTTCAAGCCAAGCAGACAAACTCTTCAGAGCCGCGGAAACATCGGTGGAAAGATTGGCAACTGAGGAGAATTTTACATAAAGTACAAGGTTGTCAGCGTACATGACAGCCTTCATGTTAGGTGGAAGATATTGTTCCAAATCTCTCAGATACAAATTAAATAAAAGGGGTGACAGGACTCCAACACCACAGACTTTTGAATCTGATCCGTCAGCATTAAAAGAGACGTACCTTTTTCTGGTCATGTGATTGATGAAGTTTACCATACAGGGGTGGAAATTTAAATCTCTAAGCATTGTATTTAAAATAAGGGGGCGAAAGTTATTAAAAGCACCCTTAATATCGATAGAAACTGCCAGAGTATGCTCTGAATCCGCAAAGCCGATCAGGGTATCAGTGACAAAAGTTGCAACACAATCAACCGCTGATCTTTGCTTTCTGAATCCAAACTGGTAGGAAGGAATCAAGCCCCGACTCTCCACATCGTGTTCCAGACGTCCCTGTATTAGTTTTTCAAAAACTTTTGATAGAACCGAGGTGAGAGCTATGGGCCGAAACCCCTTTCCACCTGGTTTCGGTAGAGCTATAACTCTGGTGTATAACCACGAAGATGGAAAAGAGGAATGCAGAAGCATTCTATTGAACAATATTAAGAGGAATTCCTGTGATATTGGTCCCAAAAATTTTATCATATCAGCAGTGATGCCATCAAGGCCTGCCGCTGCTTTTGATTTAGAAGAAGAAATGGCGTGTTGCAAATATGGGATTTCAACTGGAGGAATATCCTCTCTAATTAGGTCTTTCCGAAACTTAATGAATTCTGGTGTGAATGAATCTGTTGAGATGTTCGTGCAAAGTTGTCCAGATCGGGAAGATAGCACTTTGACGGTTCTCCATAGGGTGGACATACCTCTAGATGGGGACATGTTCTCACAAAATTCCTTAAAGGCTAAGGATCTTTGTTCCCTAAGAGACTTCTTTATTTCAGCATTTTTGCGTTTGAATTCCTCTCTATTACTCATTGATTGATTAGAGTGATACCATTTAAAATTCTCCCTCCTGAGAGAAAGAAGTTTGTCGCATGTAGAATTCCACCAGAGTGGCTATGAGATGGATCTTATAGATTTAGTTTTAGGGATAAAAGCTCCTGCTTTAATGAGACTTTGTTTAAGGTGGTCGGTAAAAGAGATATAAATGCGAGTGACTACCGGCGGTAGCCAATAGGCGCGCGCGCACCCTCCACTCCCGCGCATACTGGAGTATAAAAGCGGACTCGCCGAGCTGATGCGCTCAGTCGGGCGGTGAGGCCGCTCATGAATGGAAGTCATTTAAAACCAGAGAAGTATTAATTTAGGTACTTTTTTTTTGAAAATAAAGAAAACTTACTCATTTTTCGAACCGGAGTGTGTGCCAAATCGTGAAGAATTAAATCACTCCACTGCATGACAGCCAGAGTCCTCGAAACGTCTGATTTGTCATTTGTAGTTGAAAGTGTTGAACTAACTAATCTCGGATTAGGAAGTGCGTTATTTCCTCTTCTCGAGTGTCTTGGTTCTTGAACACCTAAGCGCCAAAACATTCAATTATAATTCAATAAAACAAATATTTTTTTGGTCAAATCGGAGTTTCTTTGAATGAATTTTCTTTTTTATTATTATTATTACTATTATTTTTATTCTGATTCTTATTATTATTGTTATTATTATTAATAACAAAATAATTTCTATTAAATTTTGAAAAAACTGAACAAACTCCGATTTGAAAAAATTGGATGTAGCTTGAGAGTAAATGATAATTGATCAATTTTGTATAAACAAAAAAATTGAAAGCACAAACCAAGTTTTACTAAATTATTATCATCATTATTAGCAATTATTCAGTAATTTGAATTATATGTCAATTAATTTAAGTGTAGATATACCATTAATTACTTAGTAATTAATAATTATATTTTTTAATTTGTATTACGAAATTAATTTTTTTTATCAAATAGAACAAATTTATTTTTCAATTAAGTAAAAATTGGTTTGTTGTAAACTAATCTAATTATGTAAATAATGAATTTAATCTTATTTTCTGAATGAATTTTTTTATTTTTATTATTTAAATGTAAAAAAGCGGATATGACTTTGTTTTTCTTACATGTAAAATTGATCTAACCGAGAACGCGTGTATCGCAAAAATATGGATAAATTTTTTTTTACATGTGTGTAATTAAGAGGAAAAAAAATTATATTTATGATACAAAAAAATATATTATAGGAATATCCGAATTAAGTTACATACACTTCTATTGCTGGATAGAATCTCACGAACTGGGTCACTCTATAGTAGACAGTTTTTATTTTTTTTTTCACTGCTACTATGTGTTTTTATCGCACAAACTGTAATGCAAATCACAGAATAAATTTTTTTAAGAGCCAGTTGGCGAATGTTTTTTCACCAGCGCTTTATGGGACAAAGGATATTTTTATTTATTTTTATTTACAGAAGAACTATTTTATTTAGAATCAGAAAATATTTATTTTTGTTTTCGAAAATTAATTAATAACCAAATTTGGAATATTGTCCATCACAAAAATTTTAAAATGCTTTAAAATTAATTTGACTAACATTTTTTTTTTTTTTTTAATTTTTAATTTTAATTTAAATTTGATTTGAAATAAGAAAATAGGACAGATAAGTTAAAATTTTTGTTTGAATATTAAATAATACAAAAACCGAAATTTTAGGTGGAAAACAAAAAAAGGAGAGAAAAGAGAATGGAATTTAAAGGAAAGCGCCAAACGTTCGGAGGCTGGAAATAATTCAACGATTATTATTTGTCAGAAAAAATAGGTTTAAAAAGAAACCTAAAAAAAAGAAGAAGTACAAAATGTGCTGCTCTTTTTGTCAACGTAGACAAAAAAAAATTTTTCACGCAAGAATGAAATATACAATTATATTTCTTTTTATCCCCCTTATATCGACTACTGTAAAATTCTTCAAAATTTGTATTAATTAATAATTAACTTTTACAATTAAGTAAATTTTTTAATTTTTAAATTAAAAAATTAACTTAAAAATGTTAAACTAAAAATTTTAAAATAAAAATATTAAAAGTTTATAATTTTTAAATTAATTTAAATTCTTTTTTTTTGAAATTTTATTTGCAGAGCAAATATAATGAAGATGCGTGGTAATAAATATAAGACATTTTATCCCGTGATAAATAGACACTTAAATTATCAGTCGGAGAGTTTTAGAAAATATTGAATTGTTTCTATATTGTGCGCCTAATTTAATTCCATCAGTAAATATCCCCTGGTTGACACGGGCTAATAAAGTGATTTGTTCCTATCGCGATTCTACATAATACACACGATCATTTTTTAAGAAGTCACGGATTTTATTTTCTTATTTTCTATTTCATTGAAAAATTAAAAAATATTATTTTAAATATTAAAAATTTAAAAAAATTTAAGCAATGTTCGATTTTTTAAATTTATTGTTTTTTTATAAATTTATAAAAATACGTAATTTTTGTTTTCGTTCGTTCGTCAGTGCAAGTTTGGACAAAAAATGATTTATTAGAAAATGAAAAATTTGTTCATTATAGTAGAATTCCAAAAAAAAATAAGGAAAAAAATAGTTAAGAAGAAAATAAATTTTTAATAAAATAAAATAAAGAAAAATAATAAAACATATGATTGAAATAAAACGAAAACAGCAATTGAATAAAAAGAAAGAAAGTGAAGAAAAGGAACGAAAATATCGTTGAAATGAAGAAGTAAACATAAAGTAAAAAAAGGAAAAAAGAATCAATGTTCTTAAGTAAATAAATAATAAACAAAAATGCAAAAGAAAATGATAAATATAAATGATTTTGATGAATGAATGAATAAAAGATAAAAATTTGTTTCTCAACAATTTTTTTTTTTTTGTGAAAATTCACTTACCGTCGATATAGTTTGGAAAGAGAAGTCTCGTGTACGCTGTCATTGCGCAACCAAGTTTTGGATTCTCCAAATTATTGCAACTGCCATTAATTGTTCTGTACCGTGAATTTAGTGTGCAGTCCATTTTTTCATTATTTTCACATGCATCACTCAATGAGGTACCATCAAATTTTATTGTTGAAATAAATCGCGCGCACTCCTTACCGTCGAGTCCAAATCTGTTTAGAAAAAAAACAATACTTTTCAAAATTTATTGCCTTTAATTCATTAAAATTCAAAAAAAACAATTTTATTTTTTTTATTTATTTTATTTTTTATTTTATTTTTTTTTTTATTTTTTATTTCCTTCTTTTAGTTAATTATTTAAACAATATTCGTTTTTTGAAAAAAATCTTTATTTATTTCTTTATTTTCAATTTAAAGAAAAAATGTTTTATTAAAAAACATAAAAAATGCACGTGGACATAAAAAAAAAATTTGAAATCTATTTATATGGAAATTTTTTGAAAAAATACCTTCGACAGCTATTTTGTACGAGATATGATGAAGCCTTGGCGGCAATAATAGCGTCACTTGATTTTTCAAATGCATCCTCACTTGGATATGAATAAACATATTGACTGTGACTTGGCGTCGATTTTAAAAGACCAACTCCAGCATTTATAATATTTGTCTCGAGACGACTTCGATATTTAATCATCAACTCGGCAAATGCAATTGATTCATTTAATGCATTATTCTCAATTTTTGGCCATTTTCGCTTCTCAAAATGTCCCACAACAATATTTTCTGCACTCTGATGATATCCAGCGAGATCTTTAAAAAAAGGCAAAAAGTAAAAAATTATTATAGAAAAAAGAGAAAAAATATTGGAAAATAAAAAAATTATTATAAGAAAAAAAAATTATTTTTTTAGTTAATAACAATTATATTAAAATTTGTTTCTATATTTATATAATGAATAAAAATTCATTTAATTAATTTTCTTTTTAAATTTATTTTAATTTTATTTATATTTTTTTAATAATAATAATAATAATAATAAATGCAAAAAAAAGAATTTCAAAAAAACTAAAAATATAGAAAAAAGGTAAACTTAAAAAAAGCAAAAATAAAAAAAAACAAGATAAAATGAAATAAACAAAGAAATAACAAAATTAAAGGAAAAAGGTAAAAAAATAGAAGGAAAAAGAAAAGAAGACAAAGAGGCTAAAAAAGTAAAAAAAGCAAAAAAAATTGAAGTAAGAGAAAAAACAACAAAATACAACTGAAAACTTGTAGGAAGATGTAAAAAAATATAAAAAGTAAAGAAAATAAAAAACAAAAATATATTGAACTAAAAAAGTAAAAAAATCAAGGAAAAAAACAAATAATAAAATGAAGTAAACAAAGAAATAACAAAATTAAAATAAAAAAATAAAAAAAAAAAGATAATAGATAAGGAAAGTAAATATGTATATGAAAGTTAAAATATGAAGGTAAAATATTAAAATAGAAGAAAAAAATAAAGAAGATAAAGCAAGAAAAAACAAAAAAAATTAAAGTAAACAGAGAAACACCAAAAAAATAACAGTAAATATATTATTATTAAAATGTAAAATAAAAAAGTATAAAAAGTAAAAAAAGACAATAAATAGTACAAAAAAGTAAAAAAAAAGATGCTAAAAAGTAAAAAAGAAAGAAAAGATAAGATAAACAAAGAAATAACAAAATTAATGTAAAAAGTTAAAAAATAAAAATAGAAAAAAACATTAAAGAAGAAAAGGATGCTATAATAAAGTAAGAAAGTAAGAATAAACAAAAAAGTTAAAGTAAACATAAAACATCAAAATAATACTAAAAATAAATGAGTAAATATATTAAAGTTAAAATATGAAATAAAAAAGTAGAAAAAAGAAAAAAAGAAAAAAAGGACAAAAATAAGTTGAAGCAAGAAAAGAAATAACAGAATAAAAATATAAATATATATAAAAAGTAAAATATAAATGTAAAAAATGAAGGTAAGAAAATCAGAAAAATAGAAAAAAGTAGAGAAGAAAAAGATCAAAATTAAAAAAAAAGTTGAGTTAAACAAAATAACAAAATAAAAGTAAAAAAAAGTAAAAAAAGTAAATATTTAAAAGTAAAAAAAGTAAAATAAAAAAAATAAAAATAGTAAAAAGAATAATTATAGTAAAAAGGTAAAAGAAGTAAATACTAAATATTTTAAATCGAGAAAAAATAAAAAGAAAAAGAAATAAAACAATAAATTCCAAATAGATAAACCAAAGTAAAAATGCCAAAATAAAATTTCTAAACTCAGAAAACAAAAAATATAACTTTAATTACTCTCCCTGCATTTTATGCAGTTTATTTGAAACCCGTTTACGTTCAAATAAATAAAAAATAAATTATACAGAGTTCGAGACAAGAGAACAAAAATTTAAAAAAAGGCAAAAGTAAAATCCCAAAGTAAAGAAAACAAAAATTAAAAAAAAACAAAAATAAATATCACAAAATGAAGAAAACCAAAATAAAAAAAATCAAAACTAAAAATTTTAAAATTTTAAGAACCAAAATAAAAAAGCCAAAGTAAAAATCCCAAAATAAAGAAAACCAAAGTAAAAATTCAAAAATAAAGAAAACCAAAGTAAAAATTCCAAAATAAAGAAAACCAAAGTAAAAAAATCAACTTAATATAGTCACAAAAATTCAAAAAATAAATAAACACAAAAAATTGACAAAAAATCAATTTTGAATTTAACTCACTGGAAGAGGCGGGAAAATCATTTTGAAATGAATTCGACAATTTGTAAACACCAATTGAATCCCCATTCCCAATAAATCCCAATGTTTGCAATGAAATCCAAAGCACAGCCAATGTGGCAACTGACCCAGCCATGACTCCTCCGGCTGTAAAAATTGTAATGATGAGTAAAGAACCTAAAGCGTCTCTTTTTACGCCTATTTTATATACACATCAACCGCAACTCCGCACATGAATCATAAAATATGTGCGATGGGGGATAAGAAGCATTTGCTTAGAAAAAAAAAAATTTATCATTCGTTACAAGATATTTTCAAGAACGCATATCAAATTACCTTTGACCTACATTTCCAAACCGATTGGTTTTTACAAATTTTTGTTCATCTTCTTTTTTCCCTATATTGCATATTGCAAAGAGACTTTTTTAACAAAAAAAAGGTAGGGGGGATTTTTTTTTTAAAAGAAAAAAAAATTTCTTTTTAGAAAATTTCAATATTATTCTATTTTAGGGAAATTAATTTTTTTCATAAAAGAAATTATATGATTGCAATATATTTATCGAACTATATAAATTTATAATTACGTTTTAATCTCTATAGTGTTATTTATCCGTTTTATCATATTTTATCGTTACATTATCATAATCATATATAATTCCAAATAGATGTCGAAAGTATTTTCTATTTGTGTTTTTCACAGACTTTTGTTATCAGTTATGCAAAACTTTATGTATAGATGTGTTTGTGTGTGAGAATAATTTTTGTATTTTATGTGTACAAGTGTCAATTTTTTTAAAAAATAGTGTAATAGTGTGTGATACAGGTGTTTTATTGGAATTTTTATCAAATTTTCACACTTTGGTATTTTTAATTTTGCGTTCTAGTTTTTTTTTTGTATTAATATTTGATTTTTTAAATTTCTACTTGTTTTTATTTGTTTGCTTTTCTATTTTTTAAATTTTTATTTATTGTTATTATTTTTTCACTTTTTGAATTTTTTTTTTATTTTTTATTGCTTTACTTTTTATTTTTTTCGCTTTTTTACATTTATTTTTACTTTTTTTAAATTTTTACTTTTTTAAAAATTTTTACATTTATTTTTACTTTTTTAAAATTTTTACATTTATTTTTACTTTTCACCTTTTTGTTTTATTTTTTACATTTTAATTTTTTAATTATTAGTATTTATATTTTTAAATTTTTCATCTTTTCTAATTTTTTACTTTTTTTACCGTTTTTATTGTTTTACTTTTTATTTTTTTACATTTATTAATTTTTTATCTCTTCTAATTTTCTACTTTTTCATTTTTTTACTTTTCTATTCTTTACTTTTTTCTTTTGTTTTCTTACTTTTCTATTTTTCTTCTTTTTTATTTTTACTTTTTTAATGTCTTACTTTTTTTTAATTTTTACTCTATTTATTTTTATTTTTTTCCCTTTCTACTCAATTGTCAATTAAATAATAATAAAAAAACATTTTTTATTTCTCGAATGTTTGTCAAAAAGTAGAAAAAAAATTAAGTAATAAATTTTTTTTTATTAACAATTTGGTCAAAAATACGATTGCTATAATGTAATAAAAGCAAAGTAATTGAGTCGTACATTTTGTTATAAATATTTTTTCATTACGGACGGCGAATGAAGTCGCAAAATAAATAAGTAAAAATGCACGTATGGTAAAATGCAGAGTTCATTATTTCTCCAAACCTTGACTGAGAAACATCTCAGTCCTCTGATCATTTAATTTAAAGTTCCATTAAATTGATTTTAATTTACAATTAAAAATTAGTTTTTATTTAAAAAACAATTTTTTAAATAGTTTTTATTTTTTAAATAGTATAATTTTTTAATTATTTATATTTTTCAAATTAGTCCAATTTTTTTAAATTAGTTTAATTTTTTTTCAAAATCAATTGGAATTATTTTAAAATTACTTTCCAATTTTTTCTTTCTTTTTTTTGAAACAATGTCACATGAAAAATTGCTGCCTTATAAAAATAGAGGAAAATATTTGGCACTGGATGAAAATTGTCAGAAACAAAATTTTAATACAGGAATTTATTATTGTGAGCCCAGAGATGAATTAGATGTGAACTTTACAAGTAGCAGTGGAAAGAATCAATATTTAAATTTGGCAGTATTTGCCGATAATTTATCAGGTATGAGGAAAAATACAATATTTTTAATCTATACATATTTTTATAATTCAAAATTTTTACTTTTAACAAATGTTAAATTTCTAAAAATTTATTGTTAATTAAATCAATTAAATCCGCCAGAGAATTGAAATTATTGTTTAAAATTTAAATTTTCAACTGGTGTGTAAAGAACTTCGCTGAGTAGAAAAGCGGAGCGCATGCGCGAACCGGAGTGGGGGCAACGAGAGTGAGAGAGAAATTCGTGTTTTTCCTTCTCACACTCATTGTCCCCACTCCGCGCTCAAACTGGAACTTTACAGTTTGCGATTTAAATACAATTATGCGAATAATAAAATAAATACGAGAATACAAACATACAAAAAATTAATACCAATAAAAATAAAAATATACAAACATAAAAAAAATAAAAATACCCAAAAACATAAATAAGAATAAAAATACAAATATACAAGAAAATAAATAATAATAAAAACACAAATTTGCAAATAATGATAAAAAAAAACTACAAACAAGGAAAAAAACTTTTCAAAGTACAATTTACAACTTGAATGAACATATAGGAAAAATTTTTTCGAAATGAATTATAAAATTTTTTAAAAAAAGTTGTTTATAAAATGTGAAACATGCATTCTAGAGAATTATTTCTGAGCAAATAGAATTTTTTAATTGACAATACATTTTATTGTTTGGATTAAAATTAATTCCCCCTGCAAATTAAATACAAAATGTTTAGTCACTAATACGAGAAGTTATTTTATCAAAATATCTTCTTTCATTTTATTCATTCAAGTGCGTTACAATGTTAATGATTCTAAGTAAAATTTTTCTGTTTTTTTCCTATTGTTTTTCTTATTTTTTTTCTTATTGTTTTCCTTATTTTTTTTTCTTTTTAGTATTCGGAATAAAATAATCTTAATTTTGAAAATATTTTAATATCCTCAAAAACGTTCGTCATCGTATTTGTAACTTGAGTGAGAAAATGAATATATTTCTTGGAAAAAATAGGAATGTTTATAACATTTTCGAGAACAAGAATTTTTATACATCTTACAGAGATAATATAAATTATTCATTAGGAATATGATGAGAAATTAGTTTTCGTCATTTGTCACATAAAATTGTGAAAATTATTTTTTTTTTATCTACTGACAAATGGACAGCACTACTTTTCGGGAAAGAAAACAATAAATTTTATTTATTTAAATATTTATTTATTTAAAAAAATAAATTGTTTTTATAAGAAATTTTTTTTTACGATTAAAATTTTTTTTTTTAAAATATTGAATTTAATAAATTAAATTAGTAAAAAAGTAAATAAATAATTAATAAAATGAATAAATAAAAAAAGTTAAAAAATAAATTAAAGAATAAATTAAATACATTTAAAAAAAAAAATTTTTTAATGAAAAGTAAAAAATAAAGTAAATTTGGAAAAAGAAGGGGTCTAAAATGTGTTTTAGTAATAATTATAAATGCAAATGAGTAGATAAAAAAAGGTGTCAAATGGAAAATTACCATTTTATATTTTTATTAAGTGACATGTTTATAAACGGCTTAGGAAGTTATTCTGGTCAGGGAAGTAAGAGAGTGGGGATAATATGAGTGTAACATATAGAGGACTGTCGTAAATTTCATTTCATTAGTTCTTCGCCGTTTTGTTTCTTTTTTTTAGAAAAATAAAACCACGTGACAAAAAAATATATTTATTACATTATGTAATTTTTTTTCCCAATAAATCACAATTTTTCAATTCTTATCATGAATAAGAAAAAAAAGTCATTCATGAAATAGTGAAAAAAAACATAATTTATTTTAACTAAATATAAAATTTAATAATGTGAATAAATTAAAAAATTCGATAAAAAAAAATTTGTAACATTAACCTGATAATAAAGTAATATTTATTTATTTAAGTAGTATACGGGCTTACAAAAAATAAATGACGCTTAAAAAATAAATATGAATTTAAAAATAATACAATTAGTAATTTAATATTCAATAATAAATGCAATAAATAAAAAATAATTTTATGAGTATCTCAATAATAAATTCATAACAATCCAATAATAATTTAATAGTAATTTTATAATAATTTAAATATAATTTAAAAATAATTTGAAAAGAATTTAATAATAATTTAATAATATTTTCCTTAATATTTAGTTTGATTTTAAATTTTAATAATTTTTTAATATTTTTATTTTTTTAATTCATTAAGCCAAACGGAAAAGTTTAAGATATTATTATATTTATAATATTTTCCTAATAATATAAAAATTATCCTTTTAACCTTAAATATGGTGTGGAAGGCACTTAAAGAAACAGAGCGCATGCGCGTCGTAGTGGGGATAACGAGAGTGAGAGAGAACTTACAGTTTTTCTCTCTCTTTCTCATTGTCTCAACTTTGACGCATGCGCTTCTTTTTCGCGCGCAAACAAAAACTTTACAAACTATGTAAATAAATGTAATGTAATAATTACCATCACAACATTTTTCTAATAAAAGCTTCTAATCTGATAAGAAAATTGTTATGATTTACAAAATTAATTATTGAAATTAAAATTGTATAGCGAATAAAAAACAAAAATTGTGATAATTTTCACGATAGATTAATGCGATTAGAAATTAGCTCTAGATTCCAGAAACTATTGGAGGACAAGGTCGATCAATATAATGTTTAATTCAGGTCAATGGGATTATTTGCCCTTATATATGATTAAAAAATACTTTTAATAACTTTCTCTATTATTTATTTATACTTTTCGTCCCATTAATAAATGAATGATTTATTACTACTGAATTATTGTTCATTCTCTGGTGGAAAGAATTATTTTCTATTTATTTTTTGAAACAATTAATTAATATTATTATTGTTAATACTTGCTTTGTGTTAAAATTATTTTATTTAATAATAATTAGAATAAAAATAAATAAATTATTTACAATAAATATTATTATTGTAAGGTATCATTTTTATTAATATTTATTAATTTTAGTAATTAACATAATAAATTAAATTAATTAATAATTTATTATTAATTTTATTATTATTAATATTACTATCATTGTTAACAATTTTATTATTTTGTTATTATTTTTAATTTATTTACAACAAAAGAACCCGCGATTATTAATTATTGTAACTGTTATATAAATATTTTCTTAATATCTTTTGGACAATTATGAATATTTTATATTAAATTATAAAACTTTCTTCCCCTGTTAATTTAAAGAAAAAAAAAATTAAAATATCAAAATAATTGTTTATAACTACCGGAAATATGATCCATTGGTTTCTCTAAACCGTACATTGTATAAATCCAACGTGAATTATCAGCTGGTATAATCATAGTCGGAAAAAAAATATTTCTTCACTTGAAGAAGTTTTTAATAGAAAAAAAAATTAATTATCACTTTGCATTGAGAAAAAATAAAAAATAATTTTTTATTGTCACTGTATTATTTAAAAATTAAAGATGATATATCATTGTTGCTATATTGTTTATTAGCCATGAAAAAAATCATAAATAAACAAAATGTAAACAGTTCGATATATGTATCAATGAGAATGTTCTTCTTTACCCGCGAGGAAAAAGTTATTTTTTGTAAAAAAATTTTCACACACTGCACTTAAGGAGTAGTGAAAGGCGAGGAATTTTTAATTCGATACAAAATTAACGAGTGAATTAGAATAGCTTAATATTTTTCTTTTCAAATTATTTTTTAGAAAAGAAAAATGTGAATTTGAAAAAAAAAAAATTCGCCCCCTTCTGCGCATTTACATGCATCTAAATAGAAGCGTATTGCCGACACGACTGACTGCGTTTTAATTCCGAGGAGTGGCGCTGTATCGCCTCGCGTAATATGTGTGAGTTTCCTTCTCACTCTTCGTCCAGTGGCGCGTCTTAATTCCCCCTCTACTTGTGGCAAATTTATTCATTTTATTGCCGTTACAAGCTGGTGAGGAGATAGACAAAAATTTGAGACAAATTATAAACGTAAATGTTAAACAGTTAAACAAATACTTAGTAAATTATTATACGACAAAATGAAAATAAAAGTAAGGTAAACTTTGAGTAGAAATGTATTGTGGATTAATGGATTATTTACATAATAAAGCAAAGGAAGAAAATATTCGTCCGGTGAAAATAACGGAGGGGCCACGATATTTATCAAATAATGTTTTATGGATGCTATGCGATTAGTTCAAGAATTTGTCTCCCTTTAATTTCCTTTTTTCCATTTCTCACGCCAAAATTATCTTTCTATTTCGCAGCTTTTTATCGTTTTCTCATGAAAATTCTCTTTCTCTCTTTAATTCGCAGTTCTATTGCGTATAAAAATTCTCTCCTCCTCTCTCTTTTACAGCCGCGAAGCCTTTCTGTTTATCATTCTGTCTCACTTTTTAACGTCTTGTCCTTTTCTATTGTCGAAAGAACCCCTTCTTTACCAACAAATGTGACTACCTTGTAGAGGAAAAAATTTCTGATCACTCAGACAACACGTGCTCGCGGTAAACATTCATTATATATACATATAGATATATCTATACCGGTTGTGAGATAATCGGGAACGACGTTATTTTGATTCTAAGTTTAGTATAACTGGAGGCATGTGACTTTTTTTATCAACACAGTCGCGGCATACTGTCTTAGCGATTTGTATTATTTTTAGCACTCCAAACAAGCTACAAATATGTTGGAATATTTTGAATGGATTTATCTCGACTGTAATGAATGGGAGCTTTTTTTTTTTTTTGAAGGCAGTGTAAGGAGGATTTTATTTATTTATTTATTATTTATTTAAGTAGTAAACGGGACTATGCCCTTTCGTACAAAGAACTCTTAATACTAATTTTATTGCACTAAGCAAAATTACTAAATATTATATCAAAAATGAAACATAAATGCAGATGGTTTTTCTTTTTAGATTTATAGAAAAATCTTTGCAGTTCCGAGTTCATCAATTCGGAACTGTAAGATTTAGAATTTCAAAAATTAGAAACTGTATTTTGAAAAATAATTTTCAAAAAAAAATTATAAAAAAAGGATAGTTATAAAATAAAATTATGTAATTCGGAAAAAAAAGAATCTTTTATAAAGTACCTTATTTTGGAGAAATCAGAAGTGATCTTTTTATAATGTTTAATGAGAAAATAAATTTCAGAAAAAGGTTAAACGACCTCTGGTCTATAAACTATCTGAGAACATATATATTTAAAATGCTTATCCTGTTTACGTCTTTATCGCAAGAAAATTATATTTTGATAAAACTTTTTTTTCTCATTTCATATCACTGCGCAAGTACTCTTTTCTTTTTTTTTATAATAATTATCAAATAATGCATGTGCAGAAATTTTTCTCAAAAACATTGTGCATTGATCGCGAAGACATCTATATAAACAATTTGTTATTTATGTGAATTCATTTGTTTCAAATAATCTAATTCAAAAATTTTTTTTTATTTTTCCATTTTATTGAAATCTCTTTATTTACCTATTGTTAATTTCTTTTTTTTAATTTCTTAAATAAAGTATTAGAGTGCGGATTAATTATTTGAACCATTATAACGTGACAGCTTTTGAACGCATGCTTTTTACAAATTGTGGCGTCATAATGGTTCACATGCCCTTAAAATTAATTAATAAAAAAATTATTGTTAATTATTTTAATTATTATCTGCAAAGTCTTAATAAACGAAAAAAAATAATTCCAGTTCTTAAAATTAAAAAAATTATTTTAATAATTAAAAAAGCAAAATAGGCAGGAAATATCTATCTTGAACAATCTATTTATTTCTTATTGAATTAATTAATCTACATAATAATATTTAAGATGTAAAAATTAAATAATTATACATAAGATGTAATTTTTTTCTTTTATTTTTATTTATTAATTTTTTCGCTAGTTATTTATTTAAAAAGTAAAAAAATGTTTTCTTCACAACTCACCAATGAAAGGTCGTTTAAATCGTTCGATTTGCGAATTATCCTGAAGAATAAAGAACTCCTTTTTTTCATCCATATTTTGCAAATTTTCAAAAACTACTTAGCAAATACAGAATTTCGACAATTTCCGTAATATTTTTATAAAACTTTTTTTTGAAAATTAAATAAAATGTCAAAAATACTGGAAAAAATCTTATACGATCCAATTTTTGTTGTTATTGTTGTTGTTTTGTATTAATCACATTTGAAAATTGTATAATAAACAAATAACTTTTATCAATGTTTAATAATTTTTCTTCTATTGTAAAAATATTCAATAAAGTACACAGATTTTTTGTTTAATAAATATTAATAAAATGTAACAAATTCAAAAGCATATAATATATATTTATGCGTATGTAAACTTTGCAACCTCAACTTTCGACGCCGAAATATTTCTGCAAAGGATGCTAAAATGTAGAGCGCGTGCGCAAAATTCCAGTTATTTTCAACATATACAAATACACACCCGCATACAGGTGAATTTCACATTTCTCCATTAGAAACATTGATTTTCTACACAAGGCTTTTGTTATTAAAAAATTTGTTTTTCAAAGAAATTTTTAATTAACTTTACATTCATTTTTTTTAATAAGAAAAAAATTGCTCTTGATTTTTCAAGTAATGTTAAATAATAAAAATTAAAATAATAATATTGTTAATATAATTATTATATTTTTATTAATTAATATTATTAATTATTTTTTAATTATGACGGTTCAATTACAGCAACAATATTAACATATGGGCTAAAATTTACAAAAATCTTATTTAACTAATAATTGAGAAACGATGAAAAACGATAACCGTATAGCATTAGCCAACGTTAACTTTTCCACCTGGGAATATAGGTAATAATTAATAAATAATAAATTATAATAATATATTTATTGACATAACAATAATTATTATGTTAATATTACTATTTGAAAATTAACTTCTTATTCACTTTTTTTCAAGAAAAGAATTTTCTTTGTTTAATTCAAAAATAAATCTAAATATTGTTATTATATTAAAGATTAAAAATTATTTTCCAAAGTTCTAATAATTAGGAAAAAAAATTTGATCTTAAACAAGTATTTTTTCCAATAAGTGAACTTTACATAATATTACTGACGTAATTAGTTGTTATTTGTATTTAGTAGAATCTATTTATTTATTTATTTATTTATTATTAATTTATTGGTATTAATTACTTTTAATTCTCATTTTAATTAAAATTTAATTTTTAATTAAATTTTTAGTATTTAATTTTTGAATTTAAATTTTTTCACTAAATTCATGTCTTGAGATGTCATCTGGTGTGTATTCGAGAAATTGTTTTAAGAGCTCATTGTGACTCACTGGATAACTACTGTTTCATAAAAAGAAATAATAATTATGATATTAATAAATATAATAAAATTATAAATTATTAATAATTTTAAATAATAAAATTAATAATAATTAAATTATAAAATATTATTTTATATTTTTATTGTAATTATATTATTATAATAATTGTTGTCTAAAATTTTATATTTTTGTTAAATAAAATAAAAATCCAAACAGAATTAATTTTAAATAAGAAAAAATTTTAATTTATTTTCTAAATCTATACTTACCATGGAATATAAATTTTAAAACAAAATTTAGATAAAGTGCAAAATTAACTATTTAATATTTTTTCTCGAAAAAATTGAAATTTTTTATTTATAACAAATTCTCTTGATTTTACATAAAATTCAAAATTCAATATGGCGTTTCTTTGTTTTCCTTTTTCTTCTATGTTCTAAATGAATTAAAAAAATTTTTTGTTTTATTTCTATTAACAAAAATAATTTAATTGCAATTTTTTATTTAGACAAAAAATTATATAATTAGTTGTGATTTAAAGAAATATATCTATAATCGATATATATGTTAATTATAATTAAAAAATATGGATTCCTATTTTAAAATTTTGAAGAAAATTTTTTTCTTATATTTATATATATATATATATAATTTATTTAAAATAAAAATGATTTTGAAATATTTTGCAAATGATTTCAAAACTAAAAATTAAAAATTCAACTGTGTGAGGAGCAGAGAGTATACAATTGTATACGAAACATAAGAACCGTGAAACAAAAGGTTTAGGCATTTTGTATAGTATAAAAAAATTTCTTATCACATTCTCACAAGTAGTTTCAGACTCTCGCACAAAGCAGTCGCACATTGTGAATGATTTCCAGTAGTTAATTTTTATTTAATAACATCAACAAAAAATGTGCGCTCAATCTTTAGAGGGTGAGAAATCAATAAAAATTCATAAATTCACTTCGAATTCAATGTTGAAAATTATTTGAAATTGAAAATGGAATTTCAATTAAAATTCAAAATTGAATTTTACCTTACAATTCAAAATTGAATTTTACTTTACAATTCAAAATTAAATTCTAATTTGAGAGATTCAAAAGTGAATTTTAATTTTAAAAAAAAATTAACTTCTATTTTAAAATTGAAAATGTGAATTATAATTTAGAGATTAAAATTTAATTTTGATTAAAATTAGAAATGGAATTCCAATTGGACTTCAAAAATAAATTTTAATCTAGAATTCAATAATGTATTTTAATTTAAAATTTAACTCCAATTGAAATGATAAATTTTATTTAAATTATGAAATTCTTTAGAATTATCAACTGAATTTCAATTCAAAATAAAAGTTAAAGTTTACAATAAAATTAAAAAATCAATTCCAATTGAAATTTAAAATTGAATTTTACATACTTTTAAATTTTATATTCAAAATTGAATTTTAATTCGAATTCAGGACCAAATTTTACTCTTAAATTAAAAATTAATTATTAT